AAGGGCATCGATAGGTGTAATGCCATTAAGGATGCGTATTCCAACTATGAAGAGGGATTACCAATGGTAAAAGTCATTCGGAATTCGACGGTCCATGGCCTGGCTACAAAGAGGGAGATTGTTCCAAAATGCTGGGAGAAAGAAGAGATCTGGAATCAAACTTTGCAGAGTACCTACAAGAACTGGTTCTATGAAGCATGGGGTTTTAAGGAAGGGAAGTGGTATGGAAATTATGGGCCTGTGGATAATATAAGGATTACTGGATAGGAATTTTTTACATAATTTACAGTATTTAGTATTGCTTGCTGCAAATAATAATTGCGACCTTTTTTTTTATGGCGCGACTTATCATTGTAATATAATATATTTCTTGTAATTTTATATTTCATAGAATAATACGATAGAATTAAATTTTAAATTATAAATAGTTACATTACATAAATAACATTAGTTTTGATATTTATTTTATTAATAACAATAATTATATAGATTTTCGATCTTGTGACTCTGCGATCTTACATCTTTTTGCAGCAAAAATGGTGTTCGCAAATAAGTCTGGGAGGATGCAAAGTTGCGACTTTGCAGCAGGCAACTCTAGCAGTATTACATTATCAGGAAAATTTGAAACCTGATTATAATCGATTACAGCGCTGAGGTGTGTTACGAATAGTTGTGGTGTATGGTTAAGTAGTGGTTTATACTACAAAAATCCCACTTGCACATATAAAATTAGTATACTATACTCATAATATAATTGCAAAATAATTTATGTAATCTCACGAAAATTCTACAAAAGTTTATTTATTTATCATTATTTCCGGAGTAAGTCCAGACAATAGGTGTGAAAATTTGGATTCCGTGTGGGTTCCAGGGGTATAAAATAAAATAACGAAAAAAATAAATAAATTCTTCGATCTCAAATACCCAAATCAAATTATATCGGACATTTAACAGTATATGTCGCATTTTAAATTTAACTTTTAATTTAGTGGTATATGACATATTTTAAACAACAATTGAATAACAATTGATATACGATTCCATACAATATCGATGATAAATGGATTCAACGCTTATTTGCACCATGTCATGCAAATTATTGCGTGATCTGCGTTATGCCACCTAAAACACTTTTAAAAAATTTCTACTCAATCGGTTGCCGAAACTTTAAATTCGGCTGCGTCGGTTTCTCCTTATAATTTTACCGATTCAAAACTTTTAGTGCAACAGCAACAGAATCAATCATTGTCGCAGATTAAAATGAAATCAGATTAACAAGTATAAATGGGTTTTAGAGGGTCAAATAGAAACCCCCTCATTTCATTTTTATCATAAAATCTGATTTTTAACCCCAAAAAAATGCACCCCAAAAATTTGTATTTTTCGGTGACTTGTTTATTTTACACTATCCCTCATTTTATTTTAATCTGATTTCATTTTAATCTGCCACAATCATTAGCGAAAGTTGCTTTACAACAACAAATAAAAAAAATTTTTTTTCTTGCGAATCTTAATATTTAAATTTTATTGA